CTTACACTAACTAATACATTTTCTTGTCCCTAGCCTTAGGTTTGAGCGCTGCTCACCATCGCTTCGGTGAGATTTAGTCGGACGCCCCCAGCTTTCAGATCTTCCCCTGTCGCTTGACCTCAAGTCGCGACAGCAACGCTCAAACCTAAGGCTAGGGACAAGAAATGTATTAGTTAGTGTAAGGTAAGTGAGAGAATACAGGAGCTTACTGACCTAGGGACAAGAGGTCGAAACTGAGGTCCCTAGGGCAGCAGAGGCCGGCTTATATACATGGGGAGATTAGGGCAGGCTGTGCACGTTGGTCCGTGCGCAGCTGGTCTGTGCGCAGCATGCCGACGTGGCCCCGGGGGCCGGTGAGTCAGAGCGGCTGTGTCAGCGGAGCCAGAGCTGTGCCGCGCACTGCCGCCCCATCTAATCTAATCGTACAGTAGATAACGACGTGTCCGTATCAGGCAAGTAGTACAGAGGTCGCGGGTTCGAGCCCACGAAAAGGAAAAAATTAAAAAACGGCTAGGCGCCGTACCAACTCGTGACATTACCCCCCCCCTCAACGGCGCATGACCTCATGCGAGGCGCCCTTGCCCATCTCCCACCCAGAGCGGCATTGTGCTTCAGTCAGCGGCGAAGGCATTGGCTGAAAGTGGAGACCACCAAAGATAGCAGTATTGAGGCGGCAAGGGGTGTTCGGATTCTTCCGGTGGAAGTCGGCTATAAGGGCCGGCACATTGGCAACGTTGCGCGCCGGTTCCCATGACGTATGCGAATCGTCATAACCCTTCCACTTGACAAGGTACTGCAGTTGGCGCCGGAAGATCCTCGAATCCTTGATCTGCTCAACCTTGTACTTCTCGTCGCCCTCAACCTCGATCGCAGGTGGCTCCTCCGGCTCCCGGCCCGGGATATCGCTATGCGTGTACTTGCTCAGCAAAGAGACATGGAACACCGGATGCACCGGCACCGACTTCGGCAGGACTAGTTTATCATCCAAGTCTCCGAGCTTTCGCCGCACAGCATATGGTCCGAGGCGCTTGGGACTGAGCTTCTTGCTCGGCTGTTTCAGCTTAAGGTTTCGGGCATCAAGCCAGACCTTGTCCCCCAGCGCAAAGACCGGTGCCTCTTGCACGTGCTTATCGTAGTACCTCTTCATGTGCTCGGCCGACAGCTCGAGCGCAGAGCGCGTATCGTCGCGAATCTCCTTCAGGATTTTGAGCCGGTCAGCGGCTGCAGGCATTGCTGACATCGGATTGATCCGCACTTGGATCTCAGGATGGTACCCCTGATGCAGGAAGAATGGGGAGTGCCCAGTCGCAGAGTGAACTCGGTTGTTTAGTGCGAATTCCGCGAGCGGCAACTGCCTTGCCCAATCATCCTGCCGGTGGCTTGTGAAAGCATGCAGGTACTGCTCGATCTCCTGATTCCAGCGCTCAGTCTGGCCATCTGTCTGAGGGTGGAATGCTGTGGACAGCGCCGGCTCGATCCCTAGTCCCTTGTACACCACGTGGAGATATTCTGAAGCGAACTGGGGACCTCGGTCTGATATGACCTTGGCCGGGGCCCCATGATGCTTGAACACATCGCGGATGTACAAGTCTGCCGCACCTTCTGCCGTCAGGGTCTCATGACAGGCCGAGAAGTGGACCTGCTTGGT